GGTCTACATCAAGAAGTCAGCATTTAGTCGGTACCTATTTGTCTTAATTATGGATAACTTAACTAAGTACCTACAAGATGAGGTAACGTAGAGCTTGTTGTTCGCAGATTAAATAATTTTGATTGATGAGACCCAAAACGGCATCAACGCAAAGTTAGAACTTTGGAGGGATGCCCTAGAATCCAATGGTTTTAAAATTAGCCGAACTAAGACAGAGTCTATGAAATACGAGTTTAGTAAATATAGAAGTAGAGACGAAAAAATAGTTAAGAATAATGGCCTAGAAGTACAAAAAATACCGCACTTTCAATATCGTGGGTCGATATTCGAGAAAAATGGAGAGATTGAAGAAGATGTCGCACACAAAATTAGAGCTGGGTGGGAGAAGTGGAGATGTGCAACTGAAATTTTATGTGATCGTCGCATACCAATGAAGCTGAAAGGCAAGTTCTATAGGACAACTGTGAGACCAGCTTTGCTCTATGATGCAAAATGTTGGGCAGACAAAAAACAATATACCCATAAAATGAGTGTAGCGGATATGAGGATGGTGAGATAGATGAGTGGCAAGACAATAAGGGATAGAATTCGAAATGAATCCATTCGAGAAAATTTAGGTGTCGCACCAATAGGCGATAAGACGAAAGAGAATAAACTTAGGTGGACTGGACATGTGTGGCACCAACCAAGTAGAGCACCTGTTGGGAGGTGCGAGTTAGTTCAAGTGGAAGGACTGAAAAGGGCAAGGCGTGCGCCCAAAAAGACGTGGTTGGAAGTAGTCCGAAAAAATATGAGGACTTATGGCCTCATTGAGGGTATGGCTTTTAATAGAGCAGAATGGCGAACCAGGATTCGTGAAGTTGTCCCCAATTAATTGGGAAAAGGTTATGATGATGATGAAATTTTAATATTCTCTTCTCAATTATATAAGCATTTAGAAGGGAAAAAAAAGAGTAAATTGCCAACGGAGTGTGTACTTAAGGGAACGTACAATCAATGAACTTTTTCATTTTTCACATTATTGTTAATATTATAACTTTGCGTGTTTACTACCCCTCCCTAAGATAGCTCAAAAAGTTGAGCACATAAATTTTTTAATTTTAAAAAGCACCAAAATCTCTAGACAATAAATTGGATCACGGATAAAATACGATCAATGAACTATTTCATTTTCACATCATTTTTAATAATATAGCTTAGCGTGTTTACTGCACCTCCTTAGATTCCCTAAAAATTATTATCTCTCCCTACGTTCCCTCAAAAATTTGAGCACATAAATTCTTAATTATTAAAAGCACCAAATTCACTAGACAATAAATTTGATCACAGACAAACATGTGAGGAAATTCTTTAGTGCCACGTAGCCGATGAGCTATCTCGTGCTTTATAAATGGAAGCTATTATTATATTCTTTTAATTTAAAAAATAATAACTTTTTTAACCCACTATAAGCGAAGCGCCTACGTCAAGACTGCATTAAGTAGGGTTGGCAAAAATTCGAGCAAGGGCCAACAGCCCTCTCTATAGCAGGCCCGGCCATGACCCCCATAAGACCGGTCCAGGCCTGGCCAAATAGAATAAAAGAAAAACAAAAGAGAAAAAAACATAAAGAGAGCCAAGTGGGGCCAGGGCCACGCCAAACCAAGTCGGCTCTGTTGTGGCCCTCACCAAGGCCCAACCCGGCCTTTGGGAACCCTATATTCTTTTAATTTAAAAATAATAATTTTTTAACCCATTGTAAGCGATGCGCCTGCATCAAAACTGCATTAAGTAGGGTTGGCAAAACGTCGAGCAAGGGCCAGGCCAGCCCTCCTTGTAGCTGGCCCACTCATGACCCCCTCCAGGCCAGCCCAAATAGAAAAAAAGAAAAAAAAGAAAAAAAATCAAAAAGAAAGCCAAGAAGGGCCCGGCCAAACCAGGTCGGCTTTGTTGCGGCCCTCGTCAAGGCCCAACCCAGCCCTTAGGAACCCTCGAGCCACATTAGTAGCCCAAGCCCTAGTTTTTTAGGGTCAGGCCGGGCCACAAAACCCTTTGCCACCCCTAGCATCAAGATGTATAGTGCGTTGGACACCACCAAGTGCATCATGTCAACATCCCACAGTTGATAACCTTTTCATAATGTACATCTTCTGCTCCAAAAGAGAAACAAAATAACACCACACCTCGAGTACCTGAAAGAACATGCGTGTATCTTCATTACTTACCATACCTAACCCCTCTCCTAAAAACCAAACACACCACTACTATAGCCCTCCAATCACCAATCACCAAACACAAAATCAACCCAATACCCCCTTCTATATTTCATAGTCACCACCATAGATGTAGGGAGCTTGGTTGGGGGGATCGTAATCCCACTGAAAATGGGGGTGCGGTAATGGCCTCAAAGGATCTCAATCACATGGGAAGTTTCAAAAAGTCTTAAAATTTTGAACCACGTCTTCAAATTTGTGCAAATATTTTTCTTTCTTACGATTTTTCTAGATAACAATCACCTGTCGATGACTTTGGTTTTCTTTTTACATGGTCGCAGTTCGAACGCTGGCTCAAAATCTCTCGAGTAGACTCAAACCCGCAATGTCCCCTGTCTTGGATGGTATAAAACATGGAATCACCTTGATTGTCTAGAATCAAGCGGTTCTTGTAGTAGTGAATCACCTTGTTTCTTACGGATCCCTATAAGGATTAAGGTGGTTCTTGAGTTCAATTCTTACCATGGTCCTACAATCTTATTTTTCTGAATTGTTCATCTGACTTTCAGACAATAGATTTCTCCTTGTGCATATGTATGGAACTTACCGCCTTTTCCATGAACCAATAGGTTCATCTTCGTAACAATAGTGCCACCAACATAATTCTCAAACCTTTAAAAACCCAAACCCACTTCATTTCCAATGAGCCACTATTCAACATACATTTCAAAGGATTTTCCATGGAAATTCAACTACCCATCACATATTAGTGTTCAAAGATAAACCAACTTCATGAACTCTTAGAACACCATTAACCATGTCTCTTGGGTGTCTAGTATGTTGGCCCAAAATTCCGTATAGTCCAACACGTTGTTACAATTATTTACATAATAAACTTACGTATATATAAATTAAATAAAAATTCAAAAAAATATTACGAAATTATAAAACAAAACGAAACAATAGCACCTAAAAATCAAATAATTTCGCATGAAGAAGAAGCAATTTTTTTGTTTTTGCATACATTTAAGGGTGTGGTATGTATAAGGTTGCAACATTAAACAATCGGCACCTCCAAATTGTATCATAACATGTGATTTTGGTGTATAAAATTCTTAGGATTATCTGAAAATCTATTTCTATCTCTAAATATAAAATTTTAAACTCCAAACATGGTTAAAATCAAGTAGATCTATCAACATTTGAAATCTTGAACATGGACGGTCTAGATAATGTGTTGCAAGATGCACTATTTCTGGGACTCAAAATCTTTTTTTTTCATATTCCTACATCTCGATGTCGAGATGATCAATTAGAGGGTTTTTCAACATCAAAACAACCTTTTCCGATGATTTTTTATGTGCATCTTTAATTCTACGTTTTAAGGTTGCAACCTGATATAAACTTTTTCCTGCATTTAATTTTTAAAAAGAATTTTTTAATCTATTAATAATAAAATTTTCCTTCTTGGCCCACACCGAGCTGGGACTTGTAGTGGTAGAACGTTCATCCCCAACCTAAAAGGTTGGATGTTCAAGTATCATGAGGGACAACTTCTTCTAAGTCAAACTACGAGTGACTCCACACAGACCTACAAAGAACACGTAGTCACATTTGACAACAAACCATATATACTCCACGCTTGACCACCACACGTCACTCGACATCATAGTTACTAAGACCTAGGTGTCAATCCTGCTCCTAAATCTCGCTCCAGCACTCCAAGATAGGGATTTCCATGAGATTTATAAATTTTGGGACCTTGATCCCCTCTTTTTATGGGTCGCTCCTAACCACTTGAGGGGCAAGAAGAGGCCAAGAACATGACTCATTTGGATCTTAATTATGATCATCCTCTCTCTGATGCATTTGAAGGTTGTAAAGTGTAAAATATAAATATAGCAGCTTTAAATGCTTGTGGATGTTCTAATATGTACATAAAACAGATTTATGAATTAATAATCAGCTAATTCTTATACATTATCCCAAAGTGCCCCATTGTGGTATTTTTTTCATTGTATCTTACAGAATTATTGCTACATAACAAGCACCTCAACAGAATATAAAATATTATTAATTAAACAATATTCAATTAAATTAATAATTAATTCTTCCGTCCTTTTCTATGCACCCATTCTATTCTGTCTTAAGGTATTATTGGATCTTTTTTAATCGGGTATCTATTTTTTAACAATTTTATTTCTAAATTAAATAGAAGTACAGAATGTGCTCACGACCTCCAGAGTTTCTAGCATGTGACAGTCCCTCACTGCCACTTCCAACAACTATGCTCAACACTTGACTACCACACTTGATCCACATTTAACCACATGACTCCCCAAGTGGCAAGACATGAATCCACATGTAACACATAAGCCAACCCTTGTGAGATGAAGTATCAACAACTGTAGTGGTGATGCCACATGACAGACAAAGACGGATAACATGTCTGACCCGTTTCAGGACATGTCAACACAAGACACCAGCCCAAAGGGCGGGACTGAGGTTACATTGTCTGAATCTAAGTTGATATCAGAGCATGAAGAAGTCAATCAGCAGTGCGCATATTTTTCTTTTTTTCTTCTTTTTTTTATTCTTTTTTGAGAAATCATCTGTGCTTTTTTTTTGTGCGTCTTTATTTATTTTTGAAGCATGCCAAATTTTAAATACTAGCCTAAGCCTGTTCAGCCAAAATTCATTCATATCAATTAGAAAAATTGAGGTGCAACAAAAAGAATACCACACAACAAAGCAGGAAGGACACAAACAACACTCATGCCCTAAAAGTAACATTCCAAAAGTGCTAACCTTAGGGTGGTACCAGATGTGTTTGAAATGTCACCAAAACCAGCACGACCGGAATCAGACCAATCTGCAAAAGGGTGACATAATGTATTAGACAAAACAGAGAAAGGAAAGGGCATTAACAAAATGGCAATAAGAAAATATACAATTCCATAATACCATAGTTTTTTTCAGTTTTTCACTTGGAACACACAAATGAGAGGGAAAAAGGACCACTACTTTAAACTGCGGCCACAATCGCTGCATATGCAGCTGCATAATGCACTATGCACCCTGAAGCGCATCACATAGGGGCGCATATGCACTTTGGTGGGATGCACCGGCATATGCGCCTTGGTGGGATGCACCGGCACATGCGCCGCATCCCAATGCATATGCAGCCGCATAGCTCGTGGGCAAAAACAATGCCCACAAGCATGGGTATTTTGGTCATCCCCCCCCCCCCCCCCCCCCCCCTTCCCAAACACCAAAAACATCCACATTTTGGATCAAACGAAGAGATAAAGCATTAGACAGAAATTTTTTTCAAAAAATTGTCGATTTGCCCTCAATCTTGGTTGGGTTGTCCGCATAGATTCATCAACATATCGAGGGTTTCAAGGGCCAAGTTTGCAATTGCGATTATGGATTTTGGATGTTTATGAATTACGATAATATAATCTTCTAATGTCTTCCATAAAGCTACTTTCAAGCTCTAGTTTCTACTTTCTAATGTCTTCTAAAATAGGGGATTCAAAGTCTCCAAACAGCTGATAATATTGAAGGTAATAAATAAAATAAATACCTATTATTTATTAAATACCTGCTATTACATAAATCACCTCCATACTTTTTTCATGCATCAACGAATTTTTTCAGATTTTTTGAATTTATTTATTTATTAACTGCATTGGGGTGATGCGCCCGCATCTGGACCGCATCGGGACCGCAACCCGCATTTTAAAACACTAAAAGGAACTCTAAACATGGTAGCATAGTGACACCAAATATTTTTGCTCTTTAAAAGATGCATAATGGTACCACATTCATTCGAAGAAAAAACAACAACAACAAAAGAGACAATATAAAGAAGAAGCAAATGGTGACAGTTGGCATGGAGGACTAACTAAATTACTTTTCTTATTTAAATCAGAGAGAGTGAGAGTTACATCAGTCAATATTTCTCTCAAAAAATAAATAGTCAATAATACATTTTGCTGATTTCCTTTAGAAAAAACCCATCAATGCACATGCCGCAAGTGGTCAAAAGTTGTTGAAGGAGCCATTTCCAATCCTCTCCACAAAACAGGAGCAGTTTTGAAAAACCACCATGCATAAGATATTGGTATTTGTAACATTGATATTTTCAAGAACTTAATCCGCATGAGACATTAGTGTTGGATACCTATATCTCACAGGCTCTTTTACATTCTCTGCACTTTCAACCAAATTTTTATCGGTGCTTGAAACAACGAATCCTCAAAGGCAATAAATTTACCTGTGTTTACAAGTGAGATACATTTTGGAATACCAGTATCTTGTAGGCATTAAGTACCAAAGCATAACCACCACACTTCTAATCCTAATATCCAAAACACCTGCCAGAAACCCAAGCTGTGCCGGCCCCGGCCTTCTCCATCCTTTACAGCCCTACTTCCTTCATCCTGGATATGGCTCAACACCTCTCAAATGTGGTCATATAGACTATTAAGGAGACAACTTCCCAACATTTTGAATGGGTCAACTGTATCTACATTGAATAACATCAAAATTTTACAGGAATTGTTACAACAACCTAACATCAAAACTGGCTACACCTATTAATTATTGGTTCCATGACACAAAGGTTGCTATTAGGTTTTCAAAGAGATTTCCCAAAAATATTGCCCATTTTTGTTTGGAGACAGCACTGACCCAACCAAAAAATTGAGCAAATATGCCCTTACTCCAGTCTAATCTAGTCCATTAATGAGAGAGAGAAAGGGACAATGAAAATGCAGTACCATGTTTGAGGGTCAACAAGCCACATCCAAAGTGAAGGGAGTCTGTTCGTAGAAGGCAGGATTAGGGGCTGTAAAGATAAATTTTCTGAAGGGAATATGGAATTTTAGAATTTGAAGGGTGATTATTTTTGGTTAGTTAAAGCATAAAAGATAGTGGTGTTGCGAAATGCTAGTACCTCTCTTTCAAGCACTAATATTTCATAGCTTGTTGACAGAATTATAAAGGAGTTAAAGTTAGAGTCCCAAATGCTTGAAGGACTAGTTATGCTCGTTAACTAATATTTCATTAGCTCGTTAAGGTTCTCTAGATCTTTCCTAAATCAATGGAGGATCTCATGGGTCGCTTGCAGCATGCATCCAACTGACATACAGTGCCGAATTTGAAAATGTCGTGAAGGGTGCCGAACAAATTACCAAAGGCCTTTCCTAAGAAAAAAAAGAATCTTGAAGGTGCCTATACAAACCATCTACCGCTCTAAAACTCACCAGGTTCCTTTAAATCCAGCAGGTGTTTAGCCTCGAAGATTGGTTCCCAAGTTAAAGAAAATTAGCTCGTGAATAGCTTGTCATCCAGTACTTCCATTCCAAAGTTCAGATCCCTGCTGCAGTTTTTTAGAGATCATTTTTGACAATAGTTCCAGGTGATAGCCTAGGCAAATTTCGTAACTCCTAAGACATCTTTGGCAATTATCTATAACTAAAAAGGGAGAAGTGAAAGCCTTTTAACACGCCTAAAGTTTTCTATATCTTGCCTCAGGATCTTGAATTATGGACAATGACTTGCAAATGGACGAGTCATAAAGAGACAGAGTATGCCTATTTATGAGCTAAAAGCATGAGGAATTTTATTAGAAAGGGAACTAGGTATCAACTGCAAACTCCAGAGTGGTCAGAGAGAACCATTCAACATGTTTTCTACTTCCCAGATTCCAAACAAAAACATGTTGACTTCCAATTATGGTTACATGCCCATTTGGCTTCAATCCTAATTCAACTCACCATTAATCTTCTATTTAAACTGTTATCTATTGAAGAAATTCCATATGCATAGGTCAATTACATATGAAATGCACCCGACCGTGCTATCTTAGACAGAAGAAACACGAACCGGGTGATCTTACTTCACTGGCAACATAAACCTGGAGAATTCAGTGATCAATTCCTTTCGAGCAGTTAGCAGGAAATTAACCTTAAATAAAAAAGATCAAATTCTACTTGGACAGTCTAATTCAAACAAATATCAAATCCATAAATGCCAAAGGTTAACATAATATTAACATCCTACATTTCCAAAAAGATGGACCTAGTAGCTCTGGGGCTTGCTGTAGAGTCCGCTCAACTCAAGCCCAAAAAGACACAAAATCAAATAGGTACCAGGAGCTCCACCTTGATAACCACCAGAGGCGCGATTATGACGGCCATGAGACCTCTCATCTCCATACCCAAGTCTGCCCCCCATTCCTCCTCTGTCATACCCTCCATAATCATGACCAAATCTGTTGCCAAGGCATAAAAAGAAGATCCAAGATGATGAATTACTAATTATAATTGCTAAACAAAAACCATCAAGAATGTTCTCTTTTATGCAACTATTGATAAACTAAAAGGCACTCTTCCCTGCAGTTTCACAAGCTCACAAACTAAGCAAAAGATGTCCATCTTCATAAGCATAAAAATAGAAATACAATCACATGGATTAAGTAGAACTGCTTAAAATGCACTCATTTGGAACATGCATCTAGATAAAAGGTATTCTTAATATTGACATTGAATGCATGAAGCAGCTAATCCAACAAAAAAAATAGAAATACACTCACATGCATTAAGTACAACTGCTTAAAACGCACTCATTTGGAACATGCATCTAGATATAAAGTATTTTTAATTTTGAGATTGGATGCACGAAGCAGCTAATCCCACAGAATCTCAGTATGATATAGTACTGATAGATAATTATCATCAGAGTATACAGCATTAGACTTTTCAATATTTCACAAATCCCAAACAATTTCGTCAAAAAACTTCAAGACAAAAATGTATTGCAATTATAAACCTGCACATTGCGGACTCCTTTCCGAAGGAATATATCTTCAGACAGATGTATATTGAGGATGATCCGAACCTCAAATTAAGATTTCTTCGAAATCTGCGACCCTTATTTCTATAGATTTTTCTTAATCGGGCATTAGGCTCCAATCATTATCAAAGGTCTTATGAGGTATTTAGCTATGGATTTTAGGATTAATTAGGTTTGGATTTAATATAACTAGAAAAGCCAAGCGTCCTTTTTAAGTTTTAGGGTGTTCTTTCCAGAAATTGCATGCAAGGTAGTTTTCTATGTTGTTTGGGAGTTATAGAAAATATTTTTTCCATATTTTGCAAGGGTCTAGTTTCCTAAACATATGTTACCTAATTTTAAAAGAATCTAAAAGGCTAGGAAGTTTTGAACAGTAGAGAGAGCTTGAGTCCCAGGATGAGTCTAACATAGAGGGATTCAAACCTCTGTAAATACCTAGTTAAGCTTATGGCCAAAATAAAACAACTTTTGAGTAATAAACTTTGGTTCATTCAATTACAGTGAGAGACCACTCTGCAAGGACAGATTTCTCACCTCTTTTTATAAAAAGATTGATACTACAGCTCAAACTCAAGATTGGCAATTTCCCAAATAAGTTAGAGTCGTCTTCTTTCTCCAGTGTTGCACACATCCCCAACAATTATTTTTTTTGGGAGAATCGGTTAACATCCCCAACCATGATTCCCTTCTTGTTGCCTTTTAAAACAACCCTTGATGAACCCTAATAAGCAAGTCAACACCTCCCCCAACCCATCACTATTTTCCTTACACCCTCACATCCTCAAATTTTCCCTATTTCAATTCAACCCTATAACCATCACACCTGCTGAGCTAAGAAATTCCAGCAAGCCTTCCCAGTTTAAGAAACCCACCCAACAAAATCCTTTCCCATAACCCTACCCCCAGTTCTACTTCATTTAGACATTCTATATCCGATTTTACCCAATTCAGAAGCCTTCATAAGGTCCAAAACCACACTGTATTGATGTCCGTAGGAACCTTAAAACCTTTAGAAGTCCTTAAATACTAACCTAATTAGCATTCTCAATCATACCCTAGCCCCTTCTTTCTACCTCCATCTCACGCCTCACACCCACGTAGGAGCCAGGCTACCTTGGTCCTACAACTATGCCAGACAACGCCCATCAAATCAAGGCTGATGAGAGATGTCATAGGCTGTAAAACTCTCTTGTTTTAGCAAAGAAAATGTTTATTCTTCTCCTCAACATTTGACACCAACTACTAGTGAACATTTTCAGACAAATAAAAGAGTAGTGGACATCAAGGAATGAGAAATCATGTGCAAATTACTGGGAATAAGCACTTTGGACCTGGGTAATGAGAGCAAAGAACTACAGGTTTTTGTAAGAGTATAAAAATTAGCATGAGCAAGTTAGTAAACCACAATAAGTCCAATTTCAAGAAGAATAACATAAAGAACACATAAACTTAGAGAGAATAGTAAAATAAATGAACCTACTGGTATTGCCCTGAAATAGCACCTAACGTAATTACTGACCTCAACTTTAAAGTCTACTACCTGAAAACCAAATCACCTGAAAATGTAAGGGACCGTCCTTCAATTTTTCTTTCAAATTTGAAGCTATTACTATTAAACTTTTTTATGCTTGATACCTGAAATTCATTACATTAAAGATAATCGACAAATACTAAGCAATGGTTGAACTCAAAAGCTGGGAATAATTGCCTAGGGTCTAACAAACTTAAACTGATCATTTTATTACAGAATATTCTTGGAAACACTTGCTCAATTATTTTTATTTCTCCAAAAGTGCCTCCCAATCTTTATCATGCATCAATCTGCTTCAACGTGACTGCATGATCACACCTAAGGGGATGTGGAGTCATAATTCCCATATTATAATTGATCATGTGGTCAAATTTAGTCAATGTATGCATTTGTAATACATGCAAGTATAAATATATAGTCTACATGCGCTGGGTCTGGCCAGTGTCATAAAAGGTGACCGCCCAGCAACCTCAGAGAGGTAAGGACCAAATCCACCACACTGAGGCCTGGGGCAGCCAGTCTTGAGGCAAGCGCCTAGTGGCTGCATTGGCACCCACCTTGGCCACCTAGGTGTCGGAGGCAGCTGCCTCACCAAAAAAGTTATATTTTTATTTTTCTGATTTCATGTGCTTCGAAGTTCAACTTGTGGAGACCACCTAGTTGCCATCTCATGCTTTTAAAATATCAGGTTTGGCAGTTCTCAGGGATGAAATCTTTCAGCTCTCCAAAGCAGCTAAGAAATCATCCCTATGTACGGATGAAAACATATGATGAAGTAAATATTCTATCAAAAATATGAGAGGTGGCAGTGGCCACTGCAATAGTCCATAGAAGATCCATTGAACCCTGCCTCATATTTAATGAGCTATCCTCATCTATCTTTTTTATTTTTTGCTGTTTATTTTTCGTCTCTTTAGTCCATTGAAGATTCATTGACCCCTATCTCATATTTTATGGGATATCCTCCTATATATTTTCCTTTTTTCTGCTTATTTTTATCTCTTTCCCCGGACTACTGCGCATGCACGTCTGTGCACTCTAAGATGCAACTCAATGATAAAATCTTCCAATTACTTGACATTGTTATTTGTCAAAGAAAAAGGTAAATACATGGTAGAAGCAAACTAACTTGCTGAGATTTCTGTAGCTTTAAAGTTTTTCACAATTTTCTAGATAAATGAAAACGTCACCACTTTGCAATAGATGTCCACATTAGTCAAGCGCATTTGGCTCCAAATTCTATGACATTGGTAATTCTACCTTGAAGATTAATTCCACCACCCAAGGAAGGACCAAATCACATTAGCCAAGCACATTTGGCTCCAAATTCTATGATATTGGTGACTCTACCCTGATGATTAATTCCACCCACCAAGGAAGGACCAAATCTTCCTATAGTACAGATATCCACATGTTACAATAAATGACACTTCAGCATCTATATTTAGTTTAATGAATAGATGAGCGCATTCCATTACATCCCATCTCAAATTTTCTATCAATCACTCAATACCCAATTTCATCTAATTCAAACCTGACATAAAATCTTTACCATGGAACATGAGATAAAGGAAAAGCCCAATACCCATATAATTTAACTCTCTAGTTAGGTAGGACCCAACTCATTATACATTGTCAATCATCAATCAAGTGACATATTAGCATTCAAAACATAATTTCCTAGAAATCCACAGCCCAAATGAGTGTGCAAAGTTCTCACATTCATTTCGAAACTCTTTTGATAAAATCTGCATGAGTGGGGCTTAGATAAGGTCTGTGTTTCCATCTTTCATTTTCACACGGCTTACCCTATCCATTTCCCTCTCAGACCACTATGACAAAAATTATTCTAATAATACAAGTGATAGCATAGGAGGAATTCACCTCATCGGTACAATCTGTAAGCCCCGTCCTGACAATTTTAACAAAAGCAGCTAAATTTTCATTCGTGATTTCTTTCTTTAATAGAAATTTTGATGATATAAACAATAACATGATACAAAATAGATGCATCCAAAACTTGCTCGGCTCCCATAACCAAGACCAAGTATATAGCTACTGATTTTGGTGCATTTAGCTCTTCCATCCCATATTCTAAAAACAATGACAGAATTTATTGGAAAAATATCATGTAACAAATGAAACTAAATCCATCAATCATGACCCATCAATATAGATAGGGACGAAAGCGATACATAGACACATCACAAATCAATCAATAAAAATATTAACAGCAATGACAGATAGAGAGAGAGGTACCATACTTAAAACCAGTAACATTTGTGATGGACTTTGATGAGAGAGAAAGAGGGGCCAATACTCGCCAAACAAAAAATAATGCAAATACCAACAAAAGCTTGAAGAGAGAGAAAGAGACGCACCTCCTATCATCTGAACCGAAACCACCTCTGGGGCTACCCCTTCGGTTATCGTAACCATCATCTCTCCTCGACCTCTTAAAAGGTGGCGACCGCCTCAAGGGAGAGTGCCTTCTATCCCTGTGCCCATAAGGAGGAGGGCTAGGGCTTCCCCTCCGCTTATAACCATCGTCCCTTCTCTCTCTAGAATTCCTGTCATAATAATCCCCTCTTCTCCCTTGAAATCGATCATCTCTCTCATCCCTTCTCTCTCTAGAATCTCTATCTCTCTTCCTAGGAGGAGGAGGAGGAGGTTCATCAAAGTCCTTCTCCTTGCGCTCAGGCTGGCGATCCCGCCTTCGATCTAGGGTTTCAAGGGGCATTTCAAGAACTTCGGCCATCGTAAAACCAGAGATGGCCGAAAAGACAAGCAGTTGGCCGGCAAATGGAAGATTTTTACCGGAAAACTAAGGGATTAAACGGGAGAATTAGGGTTTCCCGGCAAAATCGTGACTATGCCGCTATGATAGGGTTTTTCTCTTTGTTGAGCGAGTGAGACGGGAAATGTAAAAGAGTGAGCAAATAAAATGTTCGGCTATTTGAGGGTGGCGGCTCATTTATGTGGTCCACATGTGCATGGTCTATGGGTGAGATAGTACCATAGTAAGGTGAGATTGATCCACACGATGTGTATGATTTGTGGGTCCAAATAACATGATAAAAATATATAGAATGTTAAAAGTGGGTGCGGTTTGTATAGGGCCGAGGATCTAAACAATCGAAGTAAAACACACCTTCAAATAGTATAGAGAAATGTGGTTTCAATACTGAAAATCTTTGTTATAGATAAATGTGGTTTCATCTCTAATTATATAATTTAAAGCTTCAAAAATAGTGTAGATCAATCATATTTATAAAAACTTGAAAGTCTTTAAATTTGATGGTCTAAAAATACATAACAATATATACTATTTTAAAACTTTAAATCTATTTTTTTATCATGTTCATGCATCTTGAGGTCAAGATGATCAATTTGAAGATTTTTTAACATTAAAATAACCTTTTCAAGTGAATTTCTTGATGTTCGCCTTAATTTGAACTCTACTTTCCTAGCTCTTGTCCCCAATAAGCAAAACTTGGACTCCCTACGAGATATTCGGCCCATAAACCTGCTTTCCTATTCTTATAAAAATTTAGCCAAGGTTTCGGCTAATAAACTAAATAAGGTTTTGGGATAAGTTATCTCAGGCCCTAAACAACCTTTGTCCAAGGTAGACATGTCAACCTTTGTCCAGGGTAGACATATCATGGATGGTATTCTTGTAGCCCAATAAGTCATATACTTTGCCCGGTCTTATGGGAATAAAGGTATCTTTCTTAAAATTGATTTTGAAAAAACTTTTAATAGGGTGGAGTGGGATTTCCTAGATAAGTTATAAACCTAATGGTTTTTACCCCTTAGTGGAGAAGATGGATCTCCGGATGCTTATCTTCTGCTCATTTATCCGTGCTCGTAAATGGGAAAGCATGTGGCTACTTCAAAGCCACAAGAGGCCTGCTGCAAAGAGACCGACTTTCTCCATTCCTCTACATACTGGTTGCTGAATCTTTAAGCATGATGCTCGTTGGGGTAGTTCAATCTAACTTGCTCAATGGTATTCTGATCGCCCCTGATGGCCCTTTTATCTCCCATATTCACTATGTTGATGATACTATTTTGTCAATGGTATTCTGATCGCCCCTTATGGCCCTTTTATCTCCCATATTCACTATGTTGATGATACTATTTTGTCGGTTGAATGACATTTCTCCCAAATCAAAACCCTATGGTTTTTTCTTTAATGCTTTGAAGTTGTATCTGGTGCTAAGGTGAATGTGCACAAAACTTCTCCTATGGGCATTAATTGCTTGGAAGACGAGATTCTAGATTGGGGCTCTTGGTTGGGTTGTAAAGCTGATTCCTTGCCAATCAACTACCTCAAATTTCTTCTTTTTGATGGTCGGTTGTCCATTGCTCTGTATACCATTGAAATATTCCTGGATAAACTTGATAGATGGAAGTGCAAGTTCCTATTCCTAGGGGGAAGAGTCACCCTCATCAATGCCACTATGGCAAATCTGCCCATCTACTGATTTTCTCTATTTAGAGCTCCACAAGCAGTTATTAAAATTCTTGAGAGACTGATGATGAACTTCTTATGGAGTGGATGACAAGACAATAATAAATTTCACTTGGTTAGACATCATATTATTTGTATGTTAACAAAATAAGGTGGACTGGGTATCAGGAGGCTCGTATCAGCTAATGAGGCATTACTTAGTAAATGGTGGTAGAGGACCTCATGGTCCATTATAGTTATAGATCGTTATTACCAAATATGGGTGGGACAAATGCTACACGATTCCTAAAAAGTTATCAATAAATAGGTATGCTTTTGCAATATGGAAAGGTATATCTTCTGCTAGACTCTTATACTTGGCCTATAGTCGTGTTCTACTTCGTTAAATGTTAAAAAAAAAAAGAGAGCCTTGCACTTATATAAACTCTTTCCATTAAAAAATACATGATAATTTATTGCAAAAAAACTTATCTGGGAGCACCCATGGGATGAACCACTGTTTAAAAATATGGATCGGTGGGTTGAACCTCTAGCCTGAGGGTAGAAGCTGCGAGGCAAATTGACAAGCTTGTCAAGTCAGCCAAAGTTTAATTTTAAATTTTTTTTTTATTTTGATTCCAAATGTTTTGTTATGGGTTATGGGTTATGCGTAATAGGAGCATTTTGGGACAGATTTGGACATTTTGGGACAGTTTTGAATGGATTAGGTGAACTCAGTTATTTAAAAAATGTTGGGTCGACACATAATCGCCCCCTCTAACTTGTGAATCGGTCATCCCGTTCTGGTTTTATGTATATACAAGAAAATGACCAAAGTCTAGAAGGGAACGGCAGCTCTGCATGGTAAAACGGTGATTCTCTATGTTACAACAATGATCCGAACCACCAATTCACTGATTCATTTTTTTTTTGCCAATCCACCGTATGTTCAAGTATTTTTTCTCTAGTTCACTGTTTTTTCCGCACAGTAAAATGGTGTTCTAAATTGCCGATTCACCAATACATATCAGTTTTTGGGGCACCCGATCCAAGTCACCAATTTGGTTTTTAAATCACTGGGTGAAACAATAAGAAAGATCGAATATTTCCAATCTCAAGGTCAAAGAAGTCATAAATTTTAGGCTCTTGATTGATTTTATTTTGCTATTCGATCCACATATAGCTATGGAGATCCGTTAGATAGCCCCAAGGCTAACATCTTAAAACAAATTGTTGATGCATTGGTTAATTATAAAAAAGAGAGATTGTAAGAAAGGTGGAGTGAGTTATGAGGCTCAAATTTGGCAGGATTTTGATGAAGAAATATTTGCCGAAGGCAACTTTCAGGATTTTGATGAAGAATATTTACCGAAGGTAACTTTTGATCAACTGGTTTTTTGTGGCTAACAAGCATATTAGGGTTCACTTTTATAGTTTTATGGTATATGAATTGTTAGTGAAAAAAAAAAGAATTATTTTTTCACCATGTTTTTGCCGGATAAGTGGGTGTACCGAGTGACTTGCCTAAATCTATCGAAGAACCGGCAGAGTACGCCGGCAGTCTTGCGGCGAATTGCGCAATCGGAAACACCCTTCCGATTTTTCAAACCATGAGATTAACGATTTAACACCTTAATTGTTTGTTGGGTTAATTTGAAAGGGTCCAAATTTCATTTTAAAAATTTAAATAATAATGAATAAAGTTAAACTATTTGACACTTTTTCGTGGGTGTGATTTATTGAGTTTTGAACCCCATTTTGGTGTATCATTTGGCGGATTATTTAAAATTAGATAAAAAAATACGGACTAAATGTTAAATAATTTAATAAATTTCCTTGACATAGGAGGGGCACTTTTCAAATTTGACGTACAGTTCAGCGAA